GCTGGCGTTTCTGCCACCCAGCAAAATGTTGCAGGTCTGTGGTAGAATGCCCAGTCTGTGGTGCTGCCGACCACACCAGTACATCCTGCAGCCTACCAACCTCTTGCCTTATTTGTAATGAGGCTCACCTGGCTTATTCACACATTGCCAAGTTTACTTAAAAGAACTAGAAATTCACTGTCTCAAAGTAAAAGGTTTCACGTACGCCATGGCAGTCTCTCATCTCGGTCTCCAAGGGAGACTTCCACGACTTCCTTATTCTAGAGTTACTAAGAGGCCTCCAACCTCGGTGGTACCTACTTCCACAATCTCCTCTGTGATCACAAATTCCACAGTCACCTTTGTATATAACTCTTTTGCAGCCGCCCTGGACTGCGAGGTCCCTACCTCGTCGCCTCATACTGTCCTTAAGTATTCATTTTCTTGCTTGCATGTATCTTATGTCCACGAGACCTTCCACAACTACACCCTTAGCCTCTCTACTTCTTCAAAGTCTAAACTATCCCCGAAGTCAAATGTCCTTTAACCCCTCCTTCACTTATCCTTCCCAAACATCTTTCCAGTCTCAATGCCTAGTATTTTACCTCTTACTGTGTCTGTTACGTGTTCATCCTTCCCCTCGTACAGTTCCCTCCCCTCCTGTTTCCTCCCAAGTTTCTTCCCAAGATAACTCTAACCTCTCACCCCCTCCCTTCCTTCTTCGGTAACTTCCATCGTCTCTCCGATCTTTACTCACCCTCCGTATATCTCTGATGTCCTCTAAAACGCTTGAAGCTATCTCCGAATATGTTGAGAAGGCAAAAACTAATGATGGACACCGATCCACCTCCCATCACTCCTCTTCCTCACCTTTCTTCGCAGTGTTCCAATCCTTCGCTGCTTACTCATCTTCCGCTACCTTCTTATGTAGATTTTACTAACCCTCCTAGTCCGTAGACACCTACTGCTTCACTTTACCAGTATACTTTTCTTCTTAAATAATGACTTATTTACAGTGGAATATTCGAGGCCTCAGGGGTAATCGGGGTGAGATTCAGGTGTTGCTTTCCCATTTTTTTCCTGTTTGTGTCTGTATACAAGAACCTAAATTGTGCTCCGCTGTTATCCATCCCGTCTCGGGCTATATTTTATTGCATTCATCGGATCCTTTTCCCGATGGAACTTTTAATAAAAGTGCACTTCTTGTACGAACCAGTATACCATACAATCAGATCTTTATTCATACTTTGCTGCATTACACTGCAGCTTGCATCTTCCTGAACAAATGGTATACAGTCTGCTCTTTGTATCTTTTCTCCTTCTCAGGCATTATCTATTCCAGATGTTGCATTTCTGGTTGGTTTCTTCCTTACCGCCATCTCTTCTCTTATTAGATGATTTTAATGCTCATCATTTACTCTGGGGTTCTGACTGTGACTCGTGGCGATCAGTTAGAGACTCTTTTCACTTCTCCTCTCCTTCATGTTTTAAACACGGATACTCTCGCCCATTTCGATCCTCGCACTCAGTCTCTCTCTTGCATTGACCTCTCAGTTTGCTCCTCCTCAACTGCACTCGACTAAACCTGGTCTGTGCTCCCAGATTTACATGACAGTGATCATTTTCCTATCCTCTTCACTTCCCATTCATATTATTGTCCTCGAAGCCCACGTTGGCAATCTGAATTCTGACTTCCCGTTTCTTGGATCGAACGTGATTGAATCTGGTGTAAGGCCTCTACGGGTTTAGCAGCTCACCCCCGGGAGTGGCGTAATAATATTGTCGATTGCCCTTGTATACAAAATTCCCCTCAAGTGATTTTCCTTGATACCGGTGAGGGGCTCTTGATCTAGGAAATTGGATCTTTGCTCCAATTCCCTGAATTAAGCCTTCCACCTCCCCCACCTACAGGCGCTGTATATTTCCTACTGATTTAGCGCTCCCTCATAATAATGTTTACAAAATTACAAAAAACTATGGAACGATAATATTACACGTTATCAATCTTTCTGCTCTTGAAAAACCTTTAAGAGTCACGTAAGTGACTCTTAAAGGTTTTCCCACTTTAATCTACCTTATCCATCATTACTATCGCATTTGTTTAGTTTATTTCGTAAGGCGAATTATAGGATCTTTCCTTAATTCATGGTATAACTTAACAAATCTTTGATGACAGTTGTGTTGTAGAGGTGTGAGCAAAGCAAAAATGAAGATGTTATTAGAAGACGGGGGAAGTTACGTGCCTTTTAAATGGTGCAGCTGAGTGAATCTCGATCCAAATACTTGGAGCTACCCTTCGCTTTCTCGAATCATACCTCTGTAACTCCCATTCCTGGGGTGCTGTACGACCCTTACGGGTTTAGTACTTGGTACTTTTGTACTGTTTCGCGCTTGTGGTGTAGCCTTTATTTCCACTGAGAATTTCTTGAATTGTTCACCTCTCATGAGCTCTCATTTCTTCTTCAATCTTATTAGTCGGTCTTTTACTCTCGTCTTTCTTCTTATAAAACTGTAAAGAAGTTTTAAGTCAGACTTGGCTTTTGTTGCTGTCATTCTCTAATTGCCGGTCAGTTTATCCTCTCACCTTTGCTTATTCATTTTTAGTTCTTCTCGCGTTTATATTTCAGTTTTTTTTTTTTTTGTCCTTTGCTTTTTATATTTGTTTTCCATGCTGTTGCCCTTCTTGTTTTTACTCTACAGTTTTGGCTAAACCATGGGTTTGTTCCTACCGTTCCCTCTTCTCCTGGTTATGAAGTTATCCCCAGCCTTCCCACTAGCTACGACATTATCTTATTCGTTGATTTTCCAGTTTTCCAGTTATCTTTCCCATTGTACTTCATTTATGAATTCTCTCCTACTTTGATGGTTACCTCTTCTGAAGTGTTGCTTCTCCTGGTACCCACCTGCTAGTCTCTCCTTAATGTTGATTTTAACATGTTTGAAACTCGGTACTATGTGGTACCTAGCACCCAAAGACCGCTCATATTTAGTGTGCCTACATCAGGTCCAGTCTTGCTGGTTTATCCACTTCACCCTCTCTCTCTCCTCTCTCTCTCTCTCTCTCTCTCTCTCTCTCTCTCTCTCTCTCTCTCCTCTCTCTCTCTCTCTCTCTCTCTCTCTCTCTCTCTCTCTTTCTCTCTTCTCTCTCTCTCTCTCTCTCTCTCTCTCTCTCTCTCTCTCTCTCTCTCTCTCTCTCTCTCTCTCTCTCTCTCTCTCTCTCTCTCTCTCTCTCTCTCTCTCTCTCTCTCTCTCTCTCTCTCTCCTCTCTCTCCTCTCTCTATCGGGTTGTGTCTCTGACGTGCTGACAGTTTTTCGTCACCACCTCCATCATTATGGACCTCCACGTTTTTAGTTCCCTTTCTGAGTCCCAGTTCTCCCAGTCTTTTTCTTTGTAGTAGAAATGACCCATGATAAAAGACTTAGACTTGGTCACGCGGGTTCTTGTTGCTGCCTCTATGGTGTCAACCATTGCTTTGCTGTTATCCGTGCATCTCTGTTTTGGTCTGCTGCTATTTAGTGTTGAGTTGTAAATCACTGCTACTATTACTTTAGGTACACTAGTCTTGACTGTGCCCGCTATGTTGGCATTTGCCTCACGTCTGTTTATCTCATCTCGTCAAAACTCCGCTGATTTCTGATTATCACTGCCACGCCGCCTTCTCCCTAGTTTCCTCTTTTCTTTCTTTATTACCGTATTTTCCGGCATATAAGGCGCGCTCTTTTCCCAAGAAAAGTCTTGGGAAATCAGCCTGCAGCTTACATGCTCGGGGTCAAGGGTCAGGGTCAAGGGTCAGGGTCAAGGCATATAAAAAGACATGCAGTTTATTATAGAATAAAGTTGTAATAATAGTCGTGTTCATGCGCGCGTCTTATATGCCGGAAAATATGGTAGTTAATATCCTACTGGTAATACTACATCTGATAAATTAGACACATGTGCAGCTCTTGGGTATCTTTATTGAGGAAACGTTTCGCCACACAGTGGCTTCATCAGTCCATACAAAGGAGAATCTTGAAGAACATGAAGAATGACTGCTGCACCTCTCCTGCCTACGGTTTATAAGCTCCTTCTCCGCACATGTGCCGTATTCTATTCAAGATTGATGGACTGACCACATCGACTAAAGATTGAGGGACTGATTACCTCATTCTCCTCATGTTCTTCAAGATTCTCCTTTGTATGGACTGATGAAGCCATTGTGTGGCGAAACGTTTCCTCAAAGATACCCAAGAGTTGCACATGTGTCTAATTTATCAACGCGTCGGTTCTCTGAACCATTCATCTACAATACTTCAGTTTCTTCTCTGTACGAGCTGTGTCTGTAGCTGTCTCTGATAGTCGTTCTTTTGATTCCTCACTCTTGGTTGACATTCCATCCACATGTGTACTCGGCTATTTGTGGTTGCAAGGGTTGAGTCGCAGCAGCTCCTGGCCATGCCTCTTCGCTGGTCGCTACTGTAGGTCCACACACTCCTTGCTCCAAGAGCTTTATCGTGTATATTTGTGTAGCTTAATTAAAGATATCAGCCTCCCATTGAATACACATTTCCTCACCTGTTTTCCTTATCCTTCATTCTTCCAACTGTGTCCTTCCAGTCTTCCCAGTTCTTCTTTCTTCCTCTTTTCCTCCACTTCTCGTCAACTTACCTTTGCTTCCCCTTCGTCCGTCTTGAGAGGAAGCTGTTATGGGTTGAATTTAGGGTTCGTCCGTCGTGCTTATTGAAGAATAATCAGCAAGTTTCCCCTTGCTTGTCCTCGTGCCTCACTGCCCTTGAGTTTGCCTCAGGGGAAGTTCCCTCTTCCCTGCGTGGCTTTGTGAGGGGCGGAGCAGCAGCCACCCGACCCGAGTTTCACCCTTGACATTTACGTTGGGTGGGGTAGAGAGCAGGGATGGGGGGAGTGAGAGGTAGGTTTCCTCCTGGCTGCTGGAGGAGAGGGGGGGAGGAGAGAGAGAGAGAGAGAGAGAGAGAGAGAGAGAGAGAGAGAGAGAGAGAGAGAGAGAGAGAGAGAGAGAGAGGAGGGGAAACTGCTTTCCCTGTGGGCGAGGCAGCTTTGCTAGTGGTGACGAGAGAGAGAGACAGGCAGGAGGTGTGGGCTTCATCCAAGGCATCCAGGTACGTCAGGCTTCCTCCTACACACACGCATGCACGCGCAAACGCACGTGCGCGCATTCAAGACATCCTTGGAGTGATTCCTAGGCAAAGCGAGACATATTGGCAAGTCTCCTTACACTCGCTGCCTGTGTTCACCTTGCAGTACATACTGTAGCAAAGTGGGTGTTTGTCAGCTGTTGTGGGTCGCAGCCTCAGACACAGCAGATTCAGTGTTAATAATAGTTATAATGAAGATGAGACAGCGAGCGGTTTTTACTTTACACTCAAAGTCGTAGTTGACTGTGCTTCCTCTTGCTAGCATAATAACAGTGGTAATGGTGGTAGTGGCAATGGTAGTAGTGGTAGTGCGATATGGTATTGATATTTGTGATAGTGGAAAATACTGGAAGGCCACTAGCTCCCAGTTCTGCACACTTACTGGAGTGAGAGATTTGGGAGGAAGTGTAGAATACACCCATTGAGAAACAAGGTCGCCATGGGCACAATCAGAGAACACTGTATCAACATCCGTGGTCCATGACTTTCAGTCTGCTAGCAGCAGATGTCAGAAATATTTCCGGAACGAAGGTAGAAAACTTTGGGAAACACTGGACAAATTTCTGCAGAAAGTTCCAGATAAACAGTGGTGATGGTCGTGTGGGTCTGCGGGATGCTAGTAGCGACAGCCTAGTTATTCAGGCGCTCAACCTTAGATCCTCTGCAGGGGTATTACTCCTCTCGAAACAGGTCACAGGTATAATTGTGGTGCTGGTGACTGTAATGGTTGTGACTATGGTAGTGGTTGTGGTAGCAGTGATATGTTGTTTTGGTGGTAGCTTTGATGGTAGGATTTTGGTCGTGGCTGTAGTGTTGGTGGTTTGTATGATGGTTGGGTCGAGGGGGCATTCATGGTAGTGATAATGATGGTTGTAGTGGTGGTGGTTTGGGTTGTGATAGGTGGTGGTGGTACTGCTGCCAGGAGTGGTAGTTGGGATCTTAAGCTGGTAGTTGTGCAGCTAGTGGGCATAGTGGTAGTTATTACGGCTGTGAGAGTAGTGGTGGTGGTGGTGATTGTCATGGTGGTTGTGGTGGAGGGGAGCGTTGTTACGTTGCTGGTGGCAGGGTAAAATAACAGGGAGTCTACCTATCTACCTGTTTGCCTACCTACCTACCTATGTACTTACCTGAGTGCCTGTCTTTATCTATCTTCTTACCTAAGTTCCTACCTACGTATCTATGTACTTACCTGAGTGCCTGTTTTTATCTACCTTCTTACCTAAGTTCCTACCTCCCTACTTAAGTACTTACCTGACTACCTACCTACTCATCTACTTACCTACTGGTCTGCTTAAGTAAGTACTGACTTACCTGCCTACCTAAAAATTTACCCCTGCAATCCTAAATTCCCAAAAACTAACTTTTTGTTTTGTGGTCACCTTTCTGTTTCAGGTCGTACCACCTACTATATTAGGTATCTACAAAACTTACTAACATAGTGCCTACTACATACCCTATGTACATACGCACCTGTTTCTAGGGTTCAATACCACTTTATTTTAACTAGATACGCGGCTTCAATCAGGTACTGGCTAACTTACTCCCTATTTTCAAAGGGCTAACCTTGTTCCTATTACCTTCCAATCCCGGTTAGGTTAAGGTTTTTTACAATTTTCAAGGGTGTGGTGGGTACTTTTTTTCTGTGGTGTTAAAAAATTAATTAATTCCGAGTGTACGTTGGGCATTTATGATTTATGAGGAATCTTAATACAATTTTATGGTACAGTTACCATGATATTTGTACTGCCGCCCAGTTGTTGGTTACGTATGATAAGTTTGTACTGCTGCACATATTATGGTACATTACAACTTGGATATTTGTACTGTTCGTAACAGTTTATGGTACAGTACCTGATATTTGTACTGCGCACCATTATTATGGTACCTAGTACCTGTATTGTACTGCCCTACCATTATTATGGTGCGTACCATGTATTGTTATACTAAGTCCTACCATTATTATGTCGTTTGCGGTACCTGATATTTGTCTGCGCACCTATTATAGTCGGTACTGATATTGTACTGCCTACCACTTATTAATGTTGCAGTAATGAGTTTTGTACTCCGCAACCATATTGGCATTTACCATGATATTTGCACTGCGCTCGTCCATTATTAGGTGTACAGACAGTATTGTGTACTGCGCACCTATTTATTATGGTACAGTACATGATATTTGTACTGTCGCTAGACATTATTATGGTACAGTACCATGATGATTATTTGTATGCCGCACCTTATTATGGTACAATACCAGATTATATTTTGTACTGCCGACTACATTATTATGGTACAGTATCCATGTTTATTTGTACTCTCCACATTATTATGGAACAGTACCATGATTTTTGTACTGCCGCACCATATTATGGTACGTACGATATGATATTTATACTGCCGCACCATTATTATGGTACAGTACCATGATATTTGTACTGCCGCAACCATTATTATGGTACAGTACCATGATTGATATTTGTACTGCCGCACCATTATTATGGTACAGTACCATGATATTTGTACTGCCGCACATTATTATGGTACAGTACCATGATATTTGTACTGCCGCACCATTATTATGTACAGTACCATGATGATTTTGTACTGCCGCACCATTATTAATGGTACACTACCATAGTTATTTGTAACTGCCGCACCATTATTATGGTACAGTACCATGATATTTTGTACTGCCGCACCAATTATTATGGTACAGTACCCATGATATTTGTACTGGTCACCATTAAATTATGGTACAGTACCATGATAATTTGTACTGCCGCACCATTATTATGGTACAGTACCATGATATTTGTACTGCCGCACCATTATTATGGTACAGTACCATGATATTTTGTTACTGCCGCACCATTATTATGGTACAGTACCATGATATTTGTACTGCCGCACCATTATTATGGTACAGTACCATGATATTTGTACTGCCGCACCATTATTATGGTACAGTACCATGATGAATTTTGTACTGCCGCACCATTATTATGGTACAGTACCATGATATATTTGTACTGCCGCACATTAATTATTGGTGCGGTACCATGATATTTGTACTGCGCACCATTATTATGGTACAGTACCATGATGATTTGTACTGCCGCACCATTATTATGGTACAGTACCATGATATTTGTACTGCCGCACCATTATTATGGTACAGTCCCAAATGATATTTGTACTGCCGCACCATTATTATGGTACAGTACCATGATATTTGTACTGCCGCACCATTATTATGGTACAGTACCATGATGATATTTGTACTGCCGCACCATTATTATGGTACAGTACCATGATATTTGTACTGCCGCACCATTATTATGGTACAGTACCATGATATTTGTACTGCCGCACCATTATTATGGTACAGTACCATGATGATATTTGTACTGCCGCACCATTATTATGGTACAGTACCATGATGTTTATTTGTACTGCCGCACCATTATTATGGTACAGTACCATGATATTTGTACTGCCGCACCATTATTATGGTACAGTACCATGATGATATTTGTACTGCCGCACCATTATTATGGTACAGTACCATGATGATATTTGTACTGCCGCACCATTATTATGGTACAGTACCATGATAATATTTGTACTGCCGCACCATTATTATGGTACAGTACCATGATGATATTTGTACTGCCGCACCATTATTATGGTACAGTACCATGATATTTGTACTGCCGCACCATTATTATGGTACAGTACCATGATAATATTTGTACTGCCGCACCATTATTATGGTACAGTACCATGATATTTGTACTGCCGCACCATTATTATGGTTCAGTACCATGTATATTTGTACTGCCGCACCATTATTATGGTACAGTACCTTTGATATTTGTACTGCCGCACCATTATTATGGTACAGTACCATGATATATTTGTACTGCCGCACCATTATTATGGTACAGTACCTTTGGATATTTGTACTGCCGCACCATTATTATGGTACAGTACCATGATGATATTTGTACTGCCGCACCATTATTATGGTACAGTACCATGATATTTGTACTGCCGCACCATTATTATGGTACAGTACCATGATAATATTTGTACTGCCGCACCATTATTATGGTACAGTACCATGATATTTGTACTGCCGCACCATTATTATGGTACAGTACCATGATATTTGTACTGCCGCACCATTATTTGGTCAGTCAGGGTATTTGTACTGCCGCACCATTTTAGGGCAGTACATGATATTTGTACTGCCGCACCATTATTATGGTACAGTACCATGATATTTGTACTGCCGCACCATTATTATGGTACAGTACCATGATATTTGTACTGCCGCACCATTATTATGGTGCAGTACCATGATATTTGTACTGCCGCACCATTATTATGGTACAGTACCATGATTATTTGTACTGCCGCACCATTATTATGGTGCAGTACCATGAAAATTTGTACTGCCGCACCATTTTATGGTACAGTACATGATAATTGTACTGCCGCACCATTATTATGGTACAGTACCATGATATTTGTACTGCCGCACCATTATTATGGTACAGTACCATGATATTTGTACTGCCGCACCATTATTATGGTACAGTACCATGATATTTGTACTGCCGCACCATTATTTTGGTACAGTACCATGATATTTGTCTGCCGCACCTTATATGGCAGTACCATGATGATATTTGTACTGCGCACCATTATTATGGTACAGTACCATGATATTTGTACTGCCGCACCATTATTATGGTGCAGTACCATGATGATATTTGTACTGCCGCACCATTATTATGGTACAGTACCATGATAATATTTGTACTGCCGCACCATTATTATGGTACAGTACCATGATATTTGTACTGCCGCACCATTATTATGGTACAGTACCATGATGATATTTGTACTGCCGCACCATTATTATGGTGCAGTACCATGATGATATTTGTACTGTCGCA